GGGTCTCGACATCCAGATATCTCCTGGCCATTCCATTTTCTTCTATATACATCATCATCTTGATCAGTAACTCCACGATCATCTGTCAAATCATCATGGAGAAAACTCTGCACACCCCAATGTACATACTCATCTCTCTTCTCCTGAGCGTGAATTTGACATACTCCACCAGTCTCCTGCCCAAGATGATATTAAGTTTTTTTGGAATGAACCAGATCTCTCTCTTTGGCTGCCTTGCCCAGATGTTCTCTGTATATTCCTGTATCATGATGGAGTCCATTTTGATGCTTTTAATGGCATTTGACCGATATATAGCAATCACAAGGCCTCTTCACTACTGGGAAATAATCACCAAGAATCTTCTGGTCACATTTTCAATCAATGGTTTGATCCGAAATTGCTTTCTTGTGTTTCCTCTCGTTATCTTGTCTGCCAGCATGAGGTATTGCAAGTCTAACATTATCCCACACTTTCACTGTGAGAACCAGGTACTCCTTCAACTCGCATGTGGAGATATTTCCAAGAATCTGTTTATAGGATTGTTTGTGAGAACATTTATTACTGTATGTGATGTTACCATTATTATAATTTCTTATATTCAGATTCTTCAAACAGCCATGAAGATCGCAGCTGGAAGTGCTCGGAAAAAAGCCTTGAACACGTGTTCTACACACATCATGGTTGTCATCACCATATACCTGACGGGATTGTTAGCCTCCATTCTGTACTTCACTAGTTCGACCATCTCATACAATGTTCAAAATCTCTGCAGTGCTGTTTATTTTTTCTTTCCACCCACTGTCAATCCATTTATTTTTGGTTTACGAATGAACGAGATTAAGGAGAGCTTGCTGAAACCTTGGAGAAAAAAAAACAAACCTATTTTAATAAGGCCCACTCCAAATAATATTGTGATGGGCTAGGAGCAGGGGAGAAAGAATTGTGTTCCTCTGCGAGCAAAAGGCCAATCTTTCTTCAGAAAAGAAGATTAATTAAAATGGAAGCAGTTGAATGAAATTCATGGCCCTGCACTATGTCTTACTGTGCTGTACTGAATTCAAAAACATGCTCTGCTTTTTACCTGTTGAAATACTATATTACATAATACATTTTATGCATATTTTTGAAATCCTAAATGCACAGTGAAACACTGTGAAGTTCAGGAACCCCAATCAGTGGGATGTAGCACTCCCCAGTAGCTTCTGCTTTTATCATTTATCACCATTTTTCCAGCCCCTTTCCTGATGTAAGGGTAGAGGGAGTGGGAAGAACAATACATAAGGTATGGAAAGTATATCACCTGCCCTGAATGCGATTTTAAGGGGAGACCAGCAGGAACATCAAGAGCAGAGGCTCTCCGAAGTCTACAAAATGGTCTTTATGATTATTAGCTTTGAGTCCCAAGTCTTTGGGCTAGGTGGGGACTTGGATACTATGCATTGTGACAGGCAGCTCAGCTCACACATTTCAGAACATCCAAACATCTCATGTGTTTCCTCACTGAAGTTCCAGCAAGGCAAGTGATTGAAGAGTGCCAGAACTTCAGTGAGTAACCGCATGAGCTGCTCGGATGTACGTGATGGACTATTTACTAACCTGCCAGTTGGCATCAACACCTGCCACCAAGTAGGAGAGCTGCGAGGATTACAGTCAGTCTCCACTCTCGAGCCAGAGGACACCAATCAATACGTTTGTTCTACGGTCACATGTTTGAGGGGAATCTATGGCATGGCTTGTGGAAAGCTGTGAAAGAACATTTAGCAAGAATTATTTTGAATTTGCATGCCTCCATGGGTCAAGACATGTGACCTTGCTCTTCAGTGAAAGCTAGGAAGGTGAAGTTGTATTTTTCATGTAGTGCCATCATTTTTTAATTAAAAGATCAACGAGCTTAACTTGTATTTTTGAGCTGATTTTATGGTAAAGCTATCTAAAAGATGGATGTCAGATGTTTGTACGCAATTTCAGTGCTTGCCATAGGTGCAATGTTCAGTATATACGCCTGTGATGAGAAGATAGAAAATAATAATCCAGGTAATCAATTGATAATATCTCACTGGTCAAAGACTTCTTAAACCTGCAAATCGTACATAAAGGAAGAAGAAGAGTGAAAATACAGGGAACAAACAGTGTAAATATTATTGGTCAGCTTTGGAATACGCAGCTTTTGAGTTCCTCACAATTACAAGGGAGTTTTCCAAAATTATTTCACCTATATAATTCGGGGGTGAAAAAGAAAAATTTCCTCAAACTATCACCTTATACGCACTGGTGGGCTAATCCTTTTGTCAAGGAGATTTTTATATGTTCCACAGCCTTAGTATAGTAACTGGCAGCAGAGTGTAATAAAATAATTATATTTAACTAAAAAAACTAAATCACAAACAAAACAATTGCATTTTGTCAACACTTTGTTTCTTTTCAGTTTACTGGGAGCAATATAAAAAGAGGAATCCATGCAAGAATGTTTGTATGTTTCACCCAAATTTCAGCTTCATCCGGGTTCTCTTGACCAAATCCACGTTGGAGAGGAACACGCAGGACTGTGGACATCCCTTATTTTTAAGGCAGACACAGGTTGAGCAGAACATTTACCGTTATTTCTCTTGAAACCACTGACAAACGAACAAGACATTGTAATGTTTTCATCTTCATTAATTAACCATAGGGCCCATTCTTAACCCCTTAAGGACGGAGCCAAATGTACAAGTTGTGATCAAAACAAAACGTAAACAAAACCTGGCATCTGTCCACCCGCAATTCACCTCTTTCATATTAAATGCACCCACACTTATATATCATTTTATTCAGGGGAAACTGGGCTTTCATTGAACATCAAATATTTAGGTATTGAACACAATTTAATATGCATAAAATATAAAAAAAATGGGAAAAAATAAGTGTTTTAAAAATGTTCTTTAAAATTCACATTTTAACTGTGAATGTCAAAATACTGTTTGCTTTTACTGCAATAAAATACACATATTTGTATTCAGCGATGTCTCACGTGTAAAATAGTACCCCCTATGTACAGGTTTTATGGTGTTTTGGGAAGTTACAGGGTCAAAAATAGCATGTTACACTTTTCAGTTTTTTCACATTGAAATTAGCCAGGTTGGTTACGTTGCCTTTGGGACGGTATGGCAGACCAGGAATGAGAATTACCCCCATGATGGCATACCATTTGCAATAGTAGACAACCCAAGGTGTTGCAAATGGGGTATGTCCAGTCTTTTTTAGTAGCCACTTGGTCACAAACACTAGCCAAAGTTAACGTTAATATTTGGTTTTTGTGTGAAAAATGCAAAAAACTAATTTGGACGCCAATTTTGACCAGTGTTTGTGACTAGGTGGCTACTAAAAAAGACTGAACATACTCCATTTGCAATACCTTGGGTTGTCTACTTTTGCAAATGGTATGCCATCATGGGGGTAATTCTTATTCCTGGGCTACCATACGGTCTCAAAGGCAACGTAACCAATCTGTCCAATTTCAATGTGAAATTGTCAGCCAGTGATTTCACACAGGATCAGTGATCACAGTGACTGTCTGTTACTGTGATCACCTCCTGCAGATCGCGGTAGTTGGCCACAGGGGGAGTGCCTTGGTGGCCAGGCATGCCCCCGACCGCGATCTGCAGGAGGGTCCTGCCTGTAGTTACATGTGTTAGCCAATAGGCTGACACATAGTAACTCTGATTGCAATGACAGGCTGTCTCTGCGATCAGATCGCAGTGAGAGGCTGTCTCTGCGATCAGATCGCAGAGACAGCCTGTCACTGCAATCAGGCTCTGCAGATCGTGGTCACTGACTGCAGGGAGACTGCCTGGGGGGCCAGGCATGTCCCCCGACCGCGATCTGCAGTTGTAAAATGCCGCAGCTCCAAATCGGCTGACACATGGTTAATACCGATCGCAGTGACAGCCTGTCACTGTGATCTGAGGCTGCAGACCGCGGTCACAGGGCACAGGGGGGCTGCCTGGGGGGCCAGGCATGCCCCCCGACCACGATCTGCAGCGTGGGTAATGCCGCCGGCCATGTGGGCGGCAAGACTGCCCAGGGCGTTCTATGCCGTCCTGCGGCATTTAAGCCAGTCCCTTAAGGATGGCATAGAACGCCCTGCGGTCTTAAGGGGTTAAATATTCTGTTTGTTTTTTTTATTTTTCTTGGTCCATATTACAGGACTAGACAAGTTGAAGCGTGAAATGTATTTGACTAATTTATGATTATTTTTTATCATTTTTTTAAGTGATCACGAAACCAATTTTTCTCATGGAAAAGTATCATGATGCAGAATACATATTATGGTATTCAATAGACTCTATACTCCAAACTTAAGCCGATTGAATTTTGAACCAAAGTATTACAGAAAATTGTTTCATACCTACCATAATTTTATTTTCTTGATCATTATACATGGCAGAATTTACTTATGGGTTAGCTCCTCCCCTCACGGCAGAAAGGACAGGAAATAGAACTCTGAAATCGGTATAAGCGGATCCACCCTCCTCCCCATCAGCTAGTCTTTGTAGCTCCCCATCACCCACTACCGACACGTAGCTTCACAGCTCTCTTAGATGGGTGGGAACGTAATGCTGCCATGTATAATAATAATCAGGAAAATAAAATTCTGGTAAGTATGATACAATTTTCATGACTCCTGGTCAAACATTGCAGCATTTACTCATGGGGGATACCCAAGAGTTATACATATTTTGGGGGGACAGAGTTCAAATACAGACAGTAGTTATAAACCATTATTGAGCTGCAGAAACCTAATAAGCCTTATAGAAAGCCAAACAAGAAATCAGTTGGATATTGTCATACTATTTGCTCAGATAAGTTACTGTACCACAGAGGCTGATGGTCAGCAACCCCTTAGTATTCAAATATAGGGAATATCCTGGAGAATTATTATTGACGTAAGACTTAAGGCTATGATTATCAAACCTGTAAAAGGAACAAGTCTAACTCCAGTACGAAATGAGAGACCCGTCATACATCTGTCATACTACAGAGAATAAAACAGATTAGAGGAGAACCTCCTTATAACATAAAGGTCAATTATAAATATATTTTGGGAAAAAAGCGAATGTCCTTCTCCGATATAGAGGTAATACCCAATGGATGGCACATTCACTTTAGAACTTTGTAAAAACATAACGTCCAACGATCAGACTGAAACAAGGCATGACATTCCAGACACTGCTGAATGGAAGCAGTCATACCCTGCTATCAAACAGGGAGGAGAATTAAACTGAAAATACCACTGTCATACTCTGGAAGTATGTATTTACTAATGGCAGAATTCTCACTGCTTCATCTTACCTTGTGAGCTACTTACCTGTAGATACAGGAAACAAAACAATATCTGCCTATATAGTTACTGTAACAATGACTATATATTGTAAATATCAGACTCTCAACTACACCTCACACTGAAGAGGTAGAAACCATTAACACAAATGTATTTATTTATTTATTTATAAAATATTTTACCAGGAAAGATACATTGAGAGTTCTCTCGTTTTCAAGTATGTCCTGGGTATGTCCTGGGTAATATTAGATATTACCAGGCAGGGCCGATCCTAAGGTCACTGATGCCTGGACGCAAGAATATTTTAGGGGCACCCAAGTGAGCTTGGTTATACCGCTAACTCTTCCCCTTCACAGAAATAACATTAACCATTTTCTACGGAAACTATTCAACTAACTTCACTAGATTTGCACTGTAAAACTTTTTTATTTATATTAAGTGTGGGTGAACTTAAACTGTATGGCTATGCTGTGGTTCCTGTAGGCTTTGAGTGCGTGCAGGGGTATGGGGGAGTGGGTTGGGGGGCCACCATGTCCATTTTGCTTGGTGTCCCCAAATTCCTTCAAACGGCCCTGGTAGTAGGGGATGTGACGGTAGTCACCATCA